TCAGTAGTTTTAAATCAATATATGAATACGTATTACCACTGCAGATTGAAATCTTCCTTGAAGTTTATACACTGGAACCAAGAAGGATGGAAGACTGGCCTTTGTTCGGTTCCACCAGTAGGCCAACCATACTCACTTCTAACACTGGCAAATAACACATGTATTAGACACACTTTTTCAGATCTTAAAGATAGATTTGTTAAACTCTACAAAAGGAAGGTGAGAAACCTAACGTTTTTTGTTTTGATTATTAGTCCTCGTTTGGACGCAGTCCTAAAACGGGTACTTATGTTTTGACCTCTGTGTGTCCGTGTGTGCGTGCATGCGTGCGTCTGTGTGTGCGTCCAGACCTGTATCTTAGAAATGCCTGGACCAATAACAATCAAACTTCACACATACATCATACATGATATTATACATATGCACGTCAATTTGTTTCGTGATCTAATTCAAGATGGCTGAATGGCGGCCATTTTTGTGCTAAAAATCATCAAAATCAAGCATTTCTCGGCTGTTTACAGATGGATTTTGTTCAAACTTAGCATATATATTAGACATTATAGGACCTTGATGCACATCATTTTGTTTTACGATCTGATCCAAGATGGCCGAATGGCGGCCATTTTTTTGTTAAAAATCATCAAAATCAAGCATTTCTCGGCTGTTTACAGATGGGTTTTGTTCAAACTTGGTATATACATTAGACATTATAGGACCTTGATGCAAATAATTTTGTTTTTCAGATAAGATTAAAAATGGCCAACTGGCGGCCATTTTGTTTTAATGAATGTGGTTCTCTGGCCATATCTCTGACTTGCTTTCACTGATTATGTTCAAATTTTAAATTCATTATACATCATGTCATAGATAGACAGATATATTGGTTTGATGATCCTATTCAAAATGGCCAAATGGTGGCCATTTTTGTGCTAAAAAATCATCAAATATCAAGCATTTATGGATGGATTTTGTTCAAACTTGGTACATATATTAGACATTACAGGTTCCTGATGCACATCATTTATTTTTCAGATCGGATTCAAAATGGCTGTCTGGTGGTCATTTTGTTTTAATGAATGGGCTTCTAGACCCATATCTCCGACTTGTTTTGACTGATTATATTCAAATTTTAAATATTCATTATACATCATGTCATAGATAAATAGATATATTGGTTTGACGATTCTATTCAAAATGGCCGAATGATGGTCATTTTTGTGCTAAAAAATCATCAAATATCAAGCATTTCTGGCATTTATAGATGGATTTCGTTCAAACTTGGTACATACATTAGACGTTATAGGTTCCTGATGCACGTCATTTTATTTTTAGCTCCACTGTCGACTTTGTCGAGCGAAGCTTATCATATGAGTGATTGTCTGTCGTCCGTCGTCGTCGTTCGTCGTTGTCCGTGTCAATGTTTTACTTTTTAGCTCCGCTGTCGACTTTGTCGAGCGGAGCTTATCATATGAGTGATTGTCCGTCGTCGACGTCCGTCATCGTCGTCCGTCGTCCGTGTCAATGTTTTACTTTTTCGACTTCTTCTTGAAACTACAAGCCT